CCCCAAAACCCCAAAACCCCAAAACCCCACATCTCAATATTTAAAATCAGTGATAATAATTTTTGATTAATTAAATTAAGAGAAGTTCAGGCTTGATTTTTGTCTCTGCTTAGTGCATTTTGGACACTGAAAGCACTCGATACCTTAGTGACTTCTCTTATCATCATCGTTGCATAGCTACTTTACTTCAAGCTCATTTTAATTCTTAAAGCTCTATGGGTTAGTTAATCTGCTTGAAGTTCCGGGGCTGGGTCTTTTTCTGCATTAGGATTAGGAGTAAGAAGATCTTCATTGGTGTTTTAGAACTTTACAACATCGTATTCAAGGTCAGAAGCGTGGGCTACAATCTTACGATATGAGCCATTTGAACTAGATCCATCTAACTAAGCAGATCTCTCAAAATCATTTAAGGTAATATTGTCCTTGCTCATTAAATCATACATTATCTAGATCAATTCTTTATTTTCAGGGAACCTTGTCATATGACCAATCAATGGCATTACTACATCAGTTATCTTGTACTTGTGTATATTCTCCTCAGTTACATCAATCAGGAGAGTTTCAAGCAGGGCGGCACCGTGGAGTTTTGGCTTTTAATCTTTATTTTTCTTGTTTTCCTCCTTGTCAAGTTTATCAAAGTGAGGAAGCTCAAGGCGATTATCTTCATCCTCGTCAACTTCTACTTAATCTATAAGGGCATCATCTCCATTATCTGCTTCGTCAATGGCTTTGCTCTTTTCAGGTTCTACAACCAAATCTCCAACCACTAAATTCATTTATAATTAATTTTATTACAAACTTTATCGCCATATCTTCTTATTCTTTCTGACACAGTAAGATTCCATAGATAAGACTAGTAGGCATGTATATAAATAGTCCTCGTATTTCTAGCCAAATTCTAGAATGCATTATAATAACCGTTTGGACTCTTTTTAAGAGCACATAGGATTGATTTTTCTAGTCTCTAATGAAATAATTATTATAAATAAATTACATCTCTTCTGTCTAAGTAGTTCAATGCCGAGTCAATGTTTTTCTCCTCGAATACCATCTTAAGGATTTTTTATTTTCTAAACTTTGAGTCTTCATCTCCATCAGGATGTTGAGAGAGGATGAGCTCACAAACCTTTTGCCAATCTTATCTCAAATTTTCAATTCCAATTCTATGAGTTCTGACATTGTATGTTCCAAATCTTTGCATTCCAAAATAATTAAGAAATCCTTTTGATCTTAAATTTTCAATATCTATGCAAGTAAAACTACTAAATATTACTTTTAGCAATTTATTCATCAGTTAAATTATCAGGAATAAATCTAAGTGCTACTGAAAATCTATTTCCACTTAGCTAGCCTAGTCTAATTGGCTTTAATACTCTTTCAAAGCCTCCAATTTTAATCTTTTTATCCCAATCTCTATTAAAGCAATTAAAATTAAAAAACCTACTTTGATCTTTAAAATCTAATAACCTATTCAGGATTTCCTCTCAGTATTGTGATTCTTTGAGTTGTTATACCTCTTTTGTCTTTATTTCCGGCTACTTAAAAGCTCTTTCCGAATTTCTTAAGTTTCTTTGCGATATAATGTACAGCCTACATAGTGTCGACGTTTGTTTTTTGCACAACAACTTTCAAATACTATGGCCATTCCTCTACGCTTCCTTAAGGCTTTCTATCAATTATATTCATTTTTCTTCTTTTATTTGCGCTAAAAGCGTTTTTCAAAAAAACTCTGATTAATCTCACATCCTTTTGACTCATATCAGTGTCAGTTTCAAATACTGTTGCCTCATTCTTAAAGAATTGATGGACAGCAGATCTTTTGGCTTTATCTTCAATTGAATTTTCAAATACAAATATCTCCGTTCTTTCGTAGGAACCCTCTCTGATTCTCTACAAATAGTCAATGAATCTGATATAGTCACTTTCGGGAATCAATATTTTTAGTTTCTCTAATTTTTCATCAGGAAATACTAACTCTTGCTATTCCTATTCAATCTCCATCTACTTTTGCTCCTCGGCAGATACTGTAACTTCTCCGTCAGCATTGGTTGGTGCACCTTTTCTCCATTTTTATAGATCTGTTTCTGGAGTGAACCACACTACATTTCCAAATTCATCAATTTCATTCACAATAAAATCGGAAAATCTGTGCTTAATGACACAGGGTATCTATGTGTTTTCAGCTGACATAAACTCTTGAATGCCTGCCTCAGATTCCCCAAAATCAACCATTTATTGATTTTTTTCGTCGGCCTATATCTAAGTTGTCGATTCCATTATTTTATATCTATTAGTAAAATATATATAATTCAGGCATATAATTTCCTATTCAATATTAATTTCGTCCAACCATAAGCGAATTATTCTTATTTGGGGTTTTGGGGTTTTGGGG